GATGCTGTCACCTGCATTCCCCCTACTGGGGATCGAGCCTGCAACCCGAAGGGAGCAATAGAAACATCAATAATGTCTCCTGCACGCCCCCTACTGGGGACCAGCCCGCAACCCGGGCATGTGTCCTTGACTGGAATAGAACCCAGGCCCCTTCAGACCACAGGCCGATGCTCTATTCACTGAGCCACACCAGCTAGGGCAATAAGTTTTTTTTTTTTTTTTTTAAATACAGATTTGAACAAGCCAAAGGAATAAGAAAAGGACACTGGGACTTGCAGGCCTTCTAGAATGTTCCTTGTCCTCCTCTGGTCCATGCTGGGCCGGGGGAGGGGAGGATCATGCTCTGAGTGGCGGGCTGCTGACGCCAGGACCCCTCACAGAGAGGAGGGGGGTGTGAGCCACCCTGGGGGTGTCTGTCCGTCTCTCTGTCCGTCCCTCTGTCCGTCTGAGCACCCCTCACCCTCCATGCCCACAAGTCTGCTCCCCAAGGGGCCTGGGCCTGAAGGATCTCAGTTTCCTCTCTTCTCCTCTTTCCAGGCAGCCTCCCCAGCCGGCCAGACAGGTCTGACCACTCCGACCGTGTACGATGGACAGGAATGTGCCATGGCCTGTTTGTCAGGATGGGTTGCCCTGCAGGCCCGGCCCAGGGCTCAGGCGAGGGCACAGCCCTGACAACCTTCATGCCTTCCTTCCGGGATACACAGTGAGGCCGAAACACGGGACAGATACACACACACCAGCTGGGCGCCACCAGGCAGCCGGCAGGCCACGCGCTCACACATCCCTGGCCTTTGGAAGGGTGAACTGTGCTACACAGACACAAGGCGGGGTGGGGTGCAGGTCAAAGCAGGGAGCAGTGGCCCTGGCCGGGTTGGCTCAATGGACATAGCATCAGCCTGCAGATTGAAGGGTCCCAGGTTCGATTCCTGGTCAGGGCACATGCCCGGGTTGCAGGCTCCATCCCCAGTAGGGGGCGTGCAGGAGGCAGTCGATTGATGATTCTCTCTCATCATTGATGTTCCTCTCTCACTCTCTCCCTCTCCTTTCCTCTCTGAAATCAACTTAAAAAATATTAAAAACAAAGAAAAACAGGTAGCAGTTTGAAGACAACCATCTAGCCTGCACGTGCGTGTGCACACACACACACACACACACACACACACACACACATCACCAAAACCCCCCAAAGTAAAGCTACGTGTTTCATTCCCGTTTAGATCTTTTTCTAAACTCCACCTGGAAGGGTTCTTTTGTTTCTGTCTCTCCCCTTCCCTTCCCCTCTCTCTAAAAATCAATGGAAAAATATCGCTGGGTGAGGATTCACCAAGAAAACCCCAAAGAGATATGTCAACGTCATTTCCAAAGCACGTCAGCCTCCAAGGGTTATTATTATTATTATTATTTTCAAAATATTTTAAATAATATTTTCCCATTGATTTTTAGAGAGAGTAGAAGAGAGAAATATCGATGTGAGAGAAACACATTGATTGGTTGCCTCCTGCTTTATTGATTTTTCAGAGAGAGAGAGAAAGGGAGAGAGATAGGAACACCAATGAGAGAGAAGCATCATGGACCGGCTGCCTCCTGCATGCCCCCTACTGGGGACCGAGCCCGCAACCCGGGCCTGTGCCCTGACCGGGAATCGAACTGTGACCTCCTGGTTCCTAGGTCGACGCTAACCACTGAGCAACGCCGGCCGGGGCTAAGTTTTAGAATTTAAGTGAGAATCCCCAGATACATTTTGTAATAAACAATTTGAAATCAATAAAAAGATACTTTAGCCCTAGGCCGTTTGGCTCAGTGGATAGAGCGTCGGCCCACGGACTGAAGGGTCCCAGGTTCGATTCCGGTCAAGGGCACGTACTAGATCCTTCCGTTGAGAACCCCTTGTGCTCACATGGCCCGGGCTCCCCCTGGGACACGCGTGGCAGGTTCGGCCAACCCCGTCCTTACCATTGTGCGTGTCCATGGCGTGTTCTGGACTCACGGCTGACCCCTCTGGCCCCACACACCAGTACATGCTGGGCGGTCGCCCCGACATGCCAGCCATGAAGCCTCCGGGTGGCTGCTCCCCCAAATCCACGTTGGCCGTGGTCACCGCCGCAGCTGCCCGAGGTGGGGTCGAAGGCACGGACGTTCGGTCATGGCTGAGCAAAAGGCCGTCTCGCTCTGGTGGTAAAAAGAAAACCATCATAAAATCAGAAAAAATCTCTTTCTTTAAAATATATTTATTATTATTTTTAAATTTTTTTTTTTAAATCTTCACCCGATGGCATTTTTCCATTGATTTATAGTGAGAGTAGAGGGTAGGGGGAGAGACACAGAGAGAGAATCGATGATGCGAGAGAGACACATCGATCGGTTGCCTCCTGCACGCACCCAGGGCCGGGGAGCCTGCAACCGAGGTACGTGCCCTTGACCGGAATCGAACCTGGGACCCTTCAGTCCGTGGGCCGACGCTCTATCCACTGAGCCAAACGGCCTAGGGCTAAAGTATCTTTTTATTGATTTCAAAGAGGAAGAGAGAGGATCAGAGGGAGAGAAACATCCATGATTCGCAACCGTCCTCAGAAACGGGGAGAGACATAGCGCAGCTAAAAAAAAAATAAGCGAAGGTCATGCAAATGATGTGTGAAGGTCAAAGGCGGGGGTGCTCTGTGTCCCGTGCCAGCAGCGTAGCCTCAAGGCGAAACTTACCAGGGCCTCAGTTTGCTCATCTATTAAAAATAGACGCGCACCCTCCTCCGGGGCCAGCTCACTGGGCGGCTGTGAGGGTTAAGATGTCTACACCAGGCCCAGCTCCGCCAGCTCCCAGCGAGCAGGTTCTAGAATGGTCCCTGAGCCAAGTCAGCTCAAGATGTGGACAGAGAGAAGCAGCACAACAGAACCTCCGTGTTACAGCCACCAAGCTGGTGCCCAGCCGGCCTGGCTCAGCGGTCGCCCTATGAACCACGAGGTTGCTGGTTCGATTCCCGGTCAGGGCACATGCCCGGGTTGCAGGCTCCATCCCCAGTAGGGGGCGTGCAGGCGGCAGCCGATCCACGATTCTCTCCTCCTGGATGTTTCTCTCTCCCCCACTCCTTTCCTCTCTGAAATCAATAAAAATATATATTAACAAAAACCAAACCAAGGCTCCAGCCCTAGCTGGTTCGGCTCAGTGGATAGAGCATCGGCCCGTGGCCTGAAGGGTCCCGGGTTCGATTCCCTGGTCAGGGTTCATGCGCCAGCTCCCAGCGAGCAGGTTCTAGAATGGTCCCTGAGCCAAGTCAGCTCAAGATGTGGACAGAGAGAAGCAGCACAACAGAACCTCCGTGTTACAGCCACCAAGCTGGTGCCCAGCCGGCCCGGCTCAGCGGTCGCCCTATGAACCACGAGGTTGCTGGTTCGATTCCCGGTCAGGGCACAGCGCCGGGTTCCAGGCTCCATCCCCACTAGGGGGCGTGCAGGAGGCAGCCGATCCACGATTCTCTCTCATCATGGATGTTTCTCTCTCTCTCCCTCCCCCTTCCTCTCTGAAATCAATAAAAATATATATTAACAAAACCAAACCAAGGCTCCAGCCCTAGCTGGTGCGGCTCAGTGGATAGAGCATCAGCCCGTGGCCTGAAGGGTCCCGGGTGCGATTCCCTGGTCAGGGTTCATGGAGGCAGCAACCAATCTATGTGTCTCTCTTACATCGATCCTTCTCTCTCTCTCTCTGTCTCCCCCCCTCTCTCTAAAAAATTAATGGAAAAATATCCTCGGGTGAGGAGGAACAAAAAAATACACACAAAACAAAGAGAACCAAGGCTCCAAGAACGTTCAGAAATCAAGGAGAACCGTGGCTATCTGCTCCTAACCTCTTCAATCGGCTGGCAGAGGAACCCCACTCCCTTCCAACCCCCAAATGCAGGCGGACGCCCCTTCTGAAAAGAGAAGTGTCTGACTTACCCTGTAATTCTGCTTAAGCGTTGTTGTTTTTTTTCTTTTTAAACCTTTAAAATATTTCAGGCCACCCCTCACCCAGTACATTCTGTTCCCCTTTTTCATTTTCACTTTCCTTCTGAAAATCACTTTACCAGGGGAGGTGCCACGGGAGCGGCTTTTCAATTAAGATCTGTCTTTTGGCCGAGGCGCTGAAGGTAGAAGTTTGGAGATGAGGTAACGTCCGGGTTGCTCAAGGGCCCCGCAGCGGGTTTGTGGGGCTGGGACCCAGGCCACACGTCGTGGCTGGAAATGTCACATTTTCTCTTCCCTCTTGGCACAGACACCCTAGCGAGGGCTTCTGGGAGTTTCCTCTCAGGATCATTCCTTTCACACATCTTAAAACCTCACCAGTGTTCTTTGGCCAATTCTCCAGACCTGCCCTAAGGAAGACACCCCAACACTTCAATGAAAAAGAACTTCAAAAGGAAAGCTGAGCCCTAGCCGGTGTGGCCCAGTGGATAGAGCACTGGCCTGGGGTCTGAAGGGTCCCGGGTTCGATTCCCATCAAGGGCACATGCCCTGGCTGCAGGTTCCCCGGGCCCTGGACGGGGTGTGTGCGGGAGGCAAGCGATCGATGTGTCACTCTCACATCGATGTTTCTCTCCGTGCGGGAGGCAAGCGATCGATGTGTGGCTCTCACATCGATGTTTCTCTCTGTCTCTCCTTCTCCCTCCACTCTCTCTAAAAAAATCAGTGGAGCCTGGCTGGTGTGGCTCAGTGGCTGAGCATCAACCTATGAACCAGGAGGTCAGTTTGACTGCCGGTCAGGGCACATGCTGGGGTTGCGGGCTGGATCCCCAGTAGGGGGCGTGCAGGAGGCAGCCGATCCACGATTCTCTCTTATCAGTGATGTTTCTCTCTCTCTCCCTCCCCCTTCCTCTCTGGCATCAATAAAAATATATTTTTTAAAAATCAATGCAAAACCAGTTGGAAGACCTGGACATTAAACATGTTACAAATGCTCTGGTCACCCAGCTCTTTTTTAGAAAAAATATTTTTTTAAATTTATATTAAAGCCAAGACCAGTTTGCTCAGTGGATAGAGCGTCGGCCTGCGGACTGAAGGGTCCCAGGTTCGATTCTGGTCAAGGGCATGTACCTTGGTTGCGGGCACATCCCCAGTGGGAGGTGTGCAGGAGGCAGCTGATCGATGTTTCTCTCTCATCAATGTTTCTGACTCTCTCTCTCCCTTCCTCTCTGTAAAAAATCAATAAAAATATATTTTAAAAAATTTATATTGAAATAAGAAGAAAAGAAAAAAGAGTCGAACAGATCAAGTAGGAACACAGCAGACCCTAAGGAGGACACAGAGAGAGGCTGGGTTTAGAGAGGGTGCTGGCATGTGGAGTTGGGGGAGGGGGGGCAGCTGAGGCCAGGGATGGAGATGGGCCAAGGTGGCTGGGGGCAGTGGCCAGGTGGTCGGAGGTGGCAGAGGCCAGGCCAGCTGGGGGTGAAGGGAAGGTCTCCTGGATTTCATGCCGCTCAACAAGGAGAAACTACAGAAGGGTCCCAAACTGACGAGCAGCACTATCTGATGTGACTATTTCTGCCACCCCCAGTCTCTGCCAATACAGAGAGGGAGGGATGTTTCTCCTTTCTGTTTATTTTTATTGATTTATTTTTATTGATTTCAGAGAAGATGGGAGAGGGAGAGAGAGAGAAACATCAATGATGAGTCATGGATATGGATCCGCTGCCTCCTGCACACTCCCTATGCACACTCCCTACTGGGGATCGAACTCACAACCCGGGCCTGTGCCCTGACTGGGAATCCAACCCTGACCTCCTGGGCTCAGCCACGGAGCCACGCCGGCCGGGCTGTTTCTGTGGTCTGACTTCCTTTAAATCGTGATTTCTCCATGACAGGTTGCGTTGGACATTATTTTGTATGAACTCCAGGGGTATGTTCATTTCTTTTCTTTATTCTTCCGGGACATGAGCGAAGAGAAGTCAGGTTACAAAAGGCATTGGATGCTAACACTGTCCCAAACTGTGCACATTCTCATCTTCCCCTTCCCATGCCCAGGGCACTATGAGACGAACAGGGGCGAACACGAAAAACAGGGGGTCTGGGGCGAGGCACCTGCTTCTCTACCTCCCTGTCACCTGCACGGGGATGTGTTTGTGGGAGGAAAAAGGCTGTGGCCTCCGGCTGTGAAGGGGCAGGTTGCTCTGCCCACAGAAATCCCCAATCCCCAGTCACTCTCTCCGTCCCACCCCCAGGAGTCGCCCAGTTCTCCATCACCATCTCCTCCTGATCCCCAGAGGTCCCCCAATTCCCCCCCC